GATATTATACGTAAATTAATAATATACATAAGTCATGATTTGAGTTATATAGGTATCGATTCAAATATAATTTGATAATCATTTTATTTGTGCAATGTAATAATTGATTTTGATAAGGGTAAAAACCATGCATACAATGAGAGGGTGAGGAGTGCATGTCCCCCCCCCCCGGCGTAAATTTTGAGTTTAAGTGCATATTAGGTCACTTCAAATTTTGAAATTAAATAAATTAAGCATTTATTCTATTTTCTGGATTCAATTATTTTAAAATTATGTAATTAAATCAAAGTCTCCATTAAGTCTCCTAGTTAAAAAAATGAAATATTATTCTTCTTAGAGTGTTTAAGTTTGAGCAGCGTTTGCATGGTATATATATTATCATTGACAAATAAATATTTTGAACATATATTATCTTGATCAAATCACTCACACTATTAAGAAAACTTATCTTTAAATACTTATTAGGAATCTATTAATTTTAAAATTAAACAAATTAGGTATTAACATCTTAATTTTTAAAATATCAAAATAATATTTTAATAATTAAAATTTATACCATCATTTTATTACTATTTATATTTTAGGGGAATTGATAAAGAGGATTTATAAAATAATTTCTTTCTTTCTGTAGACATGAAACAAGTTCTCTTTTCCACACAAATAAAAAAAGAACTTTTATTTTTACGTTAACGTAAAGAAAATAATGGTTAGATTATTCATCTAAAAAAAGAAAAGAAAAGAAAAGAAAATAGTGGTTAGATTCCATCCTTTTACGTAGAAAACAACAAGTGTGCACACATCTCAACCTATAGATTCCTGCATGTCTTTTACGTGAAACTTATACCATCATTCGTTCATTATGAATAGCTTTAGGCTGCCGAGTTGGGTTTTGTCAAGTATTTTTGAGAATTTAAAACTATCGTTTTAATGTAAAAATAAATTTATTCTTTTCAATTAATAAATAAAAGAAATACGTAGTAAAAGGTCAAGAACTTAAAAAAATTCAAATTTCTATTTGAGTTACTTAAACCAGGCAATAAGTAGTAAAAGGATTTTGGTAAAAAAAAAGATTAAATAATAAAAAGCGATTTAAAGAAAAATAAAGAAAATATAAATTGAAGGTTGAAAATGAATATGGTAAAAACAGTCTCAAGCCTCGTTTTAACTCAATTTCCTTCAGATTTTTCCTTCGGGATTCACGTCGATTACTTTGTCTACAAGGGTAATCCTAGTGACTCTATTTTGTATACCGAATACCTAAGACAATCTTTGATGCTGACTTTGGAAATTGATTTAATCAACATCAATTGTCGTAACAATAACCATTTAAGTTTGTGAAGACCGACTCGGATTGTTGTTTCAATAACTACTAATTTCAATCTCAATTCCCTCTTGGCAAGGCAATCTTGCCAAATGTGTTCCCAGAAAGTCGAATATGCTTTTAATAAGCCGATCCTTTCTCTCACTCATTTAATCGTAACAACATCTTGACCAAAATCAATATTTGATTTTGAAAACTTTTTTTATTTTGAAAATAAGCTCAGAGATTGAGAGAGATATTCCGAAGTTATTCAAGTGATTTTCAATTCTCACGTTGAAATTGTGTTATCGCTTAGCTCTCAGCTTATGAGAAAATTAGCTAAGCATGACAAAAATCATACTTAGCATGTTTAAAAATAAAACTTAAAATAAAGTAAAAAAGAAAATTTGAAAAGAAAATAAATAATTTTATAAAACTAGAAAGAAGAAGAGTAAATTCTGAGTTGTGTCTTTAGCTTACCCCAATAGGGTATTTATAGCCTCTAAAAAAAACTAGAGATAAACATAGAAATAAAAATAATCCTGAAGGTAATTCCAAAAGTTTTCTAAATTAAAACTTTAAAAATTGAAAATAAGTCTACTAAGATAACTCTGTCCGTCCATATCCCAGAAGGTGCTGACTAGATCTTCTATAAAACTGTTGCTGATTGGACCTTCTAGAAACTGCCACGTCAGACTATGTCATGCCCATAGTCGTGCCCATGTCTCCAACTGTGACCAAATAATAAAAAAAAATGCAGAATGCACCCGTTTTACTACTAATTTTAGAAAGTAAGACCCTGCACGAAAAATAAGCATAACACAACCAAATCAACAATAAATCAATAAGATCAAAGAATTATCAAGCAAATATCATCGATTCAGAACACTCATCAATAATTTTCCTGATGCTCTATGTGTTGTGTTCCCCAAGTACTACAACTATAATGTACTAATAATCACGAATCAAGTTACCTCAGTTGTTAATGAATTGTTATTGTTTTATGAGAATTTGAATTTGAGCACCATATATATAATAGTGTATGAGTAGTAGCGAATCCATTCAGAGTTGAGATTGGGCACGTGCCCACCCTGAAATCCAAATTTCCTTCTATTAGTCACTTATTTTACTAATGGTGCTCTCTGAAATTTTATTTGTGTCGACCTTGAAACCCAAATTTTCTTTGATTAATTACTTATTTTACTGATGGTGCCCACTCTGAAATATTATGTGTCCACATCATTTAAAAATTTTATGTTGTTAACATGTGTGTGTCCACCCTGAAATATTATTTGTGCTCACATAATTTAAAAGTTTTATGTTGTTAACATGCATGTACTCACTCTAAAAAATATTTATGGATCCATAATTGTATACGAGGATTCAATTTTAAATAATTGATAATATATGAACAAATAATGTCTTATATCCTACTCAAACTAATAAAAAATGCACTAACAAACCCTGAGAAGGTTTAAAGAATCAAGCTATGAAGTTGATTGGAGGTTCTGAAAGTAGTTCAGCAAATTTTGATATAAAAAAGTGTATCGGGGCAGAAATAGATTGAATCGAGTTATTTATTATTTTATATTTTTTCTAGGTAGCTGGGTTCATATGGTAACACTATCGAACTAATGAATAGTAATTAGTTGAATCATAGAGGATGCTCGTACTTGAAAGTAGTTGAGGACATGTTAACCTACTGATGTTCCTATATGATTAGAACCTCCTTGATTTTCATAAGAACTTAATCTGAATTAGTTTGTAATCTGTTGAGTTAGTTTGTTGAATCTGTTGGGTTGAGTGATTAGTTTGTTAGATGGGTCGTTACTAGTCAGATTGTTATTAGCTTTTGGGCTCTAAAAGCATCTCATGTAATTGGGTCAGATACATTGTGTAATCAAAACACTAAATCCTAATAAGAATCCATGTCATTTTCTGTTTATTGTTTAGTTTTCTAACCCTAATACTAAAAGGTATTATTTCTAGAGTAAAAATTTGTGTTTAATTAGACAAAAATGTATGCATAAATTTTTTATTTTTATTGGATAAAATAAAATTTTAATTAGAAAAATATAGAGATGAAAATATTATAATATTTGTTCCTAATTTTAAATATATAAAGTTAAATATAATATTATTTATGAGTCAGTTCAGATATTATATTTTTACTCAAAACTTGAATATAAATTCAACCCAACATTATATTTAAAAAATGTTTACTCAACTCGAATTTATACTTAATTTTTTTAAAAAAAACTCTGATTTTATAAGATTAGATCAAATCAAAACTCATCAAATTCATACTAAATATCCATTTAAATTATAATTTCAGAACACACTCTTAATATATACTATACGTGTATATTAAATTCAGCTCACTAACTTATTTTTAAACTCTACAAAATTAATATTGAATTAAATTGGCTCTACTTGTTACTACCTAACTATTTATTATTTTATTAATTATATCGGGGAAAAATAAGTCAGAATTCATTTTTCAGTTGCTACTCAGTACTTGTTAGTGGACAGTGGTGCATGGCTACGAGTACTTATTATCAATGGGACCCACGTATCCACGTAAGAGTGCACACCTTTCGCCGCGTCAGCATTTCTTGGACCAACTGAGAAAATTTCAAAAGAAGTAATTAAACATAAGATAAACTATGCAAATGGTCATTAATGTTTAAGTTTTTGTTTTCACTATTGATATTTTAAAAGTCATAAATCGGTCACTAATGTTATCGTTTGTTATAAATTAGTCACTTAACGTTAACAGTTGTTAACAGATGTGACTAAAAACACAACTGGTGCGTTAAATGCTTACATGGACTGGGTTAACTGGGTTGACCACCACGTTTTTTAAACCTCAGTGGAGAAAACAAAAACTTACTCAAACATTAGTAACCAATTGTGTAGTTTACCCTAATTAATAAAGGGAATCAAGGGTTTCATTTACCATTCTAAACCATTCCTCTTCTTCTTCCATAAACCCATTTTTCCTTCTTCAATTCGTCTGAGATAAAACGCAATGAGAAAAATGATTTACTCTTCTTCCATTCGTTTGAGAAAAAAATAGTGAAAAAAGAGAGAAAAAACATTGTACTTACATAGAGGTTACGACAAAGGGAGGATAACGCTATGTTTTACGGTAAGTTTCTTTTGGGGTTGATAGAAAAAATAAATAAATAAAACCTTAACTGGGCATCCACAATTGCAAATCGGAACATCAATGAAGTCTTCCATCTTCACAAGATTTCTCCTCTTACAATTTTCAGATTTTTTTAAATAATAGAGATATGAATAAATAAATAAATAAAACCCTCAATTAAATTTAAGAGTTGAGGTTTTTTTAAAAGAGAAGAGGTGACCGTTAAAGTTTTTGGGTCTCCAATGTGGCAGTCAACCTAGTCAACCCTATTCATGTAAGTAATTAACGCGCCAGTTGTATTTTTCGTCACGCTTGTTAACGACGAGTGACCGATTTGTAACAAACGATAATATTAGTGATTGTTTTGTAACTTTTAAAACATCAGTGGTGAAAACAAAAACTTACTCAAACATTAGTGACTATTTGCATAGTTTACTCTTAAATATAAATAAATAAATCAGAAAACCGTGGTAAAAAGTGAATGGCACTTGGAAAAGCAAAAAGAAACGCCCACAGTTAGGGTGTTTAAGACCGCCCGCTGCTTCAACAAACCAACCAAACAGTCTCAGCTTATAAAAAGGAATCTGAAACCTTCATTTTCATCTCCCTTCACCGATTCTCCGATCATTCTCTACCGTCCTCTAAAAATTCATCAACGAGAGAACAAGTCTTCGACGTTTCTCCTCGAAAGGAATGGATTCAGTGTTTGCAGCCATTGTTCAGGCTCCTGAAGATCCCATTCTCGGGGTAGCTCATCATCTCTTTATTTGATTTACCGTGAATTTTATTTAAGTTTGATTCAATTCTCTTTGTTGATCGGATCATTTTGCGTTCGATCGCGAGTAATCATGAACTGTATGATCAAATATTACTGAGTAATTTCATTTTTCTTATTTGCATGTTGCTCTGATATTGATGATTTGAAGTTTCATTTTAGATTCGCTTTTTACTTTTTAGAAAATAAATAGCTGGAAATTCGTTTGGTTAATTGATATTTCATTCAATTTTTTTATTATTCTGAATATTTTATTTGAACAAATAGGTTACAGTTGCTTATAACAAGGATCAAAGTCCGGTCAAGTTGAATTTAGGCGTTGGTGCTTACAGAACTGAGGTATTGTAAATTTTCTTCTCCTCTCTTTAAAAACCACCTTGATCATAAATTTGCTCTATCATCCTCTTCTTCTTGATGTTGATTCCGTTGATTTGTTTGTTTGTGCCAATAACAGGAAGGAAAACCTCTGGTTCTCAATGTTGTTCGGAAAGCAGAACAGCTTCTTGTTAATGACCAGTAAGTGTCGATCAATCATTCTGTTTTTCATGCCTTGCTAAAGTTGTTCGAGTTTTTTTGTGAATTTGTTGATCATGTTTTATGTATTTCCAGGTATAGAGTCAAGGAGTATCTTCCTATTCTTGGTCTTGCAGAGTTTAATAAATTGAGTGCTAAGCTCATTCTTGGTGATGACAGGTAAAGAAAGGAAGAAACAAATAAAATAATTAAAGAAAAAAATGACGGTGCCTTAAAAATTCAGTTGAAACTCTCTATTTATTTTTCTCTTGATATCTTATTGGATGTCTTTTATTTTTTTGCTGTTGGGGTAGTCCTGCTATTCAACGGAACAGAGTGGCTACTGCTCAATGCTTGTCCGGTACTGGCTCCTTGAGGGTTGGAGCTGAGTTTTTAGCAAAGCATTATCACGAAGTAAAGTGCAGATTCTTTTTCTGTTTCTAATTTGTGTTCTAGTAAGTTATTATTTGAGGAGCAAGGAATGCTTATTTTGCCCATCTTTTGTTTGCCAGCATACTATATACATTCCACAGCCATCATGGGGAAACCATTTGAAAGTTTTCACGATGGCAGGGTTGTCGGTGAAGACTTATAGCTACTATGATCCAACAACTCGTGGTCTTAATTTCCGAGGTCTGTGTTTATGGTCTTATCAATGGGCCACACTGTGAATGAATTGCTGTTGTTAATCAATTGATTAGATTAAGAAATTCTTGGAGAAACAATTGATGCCTTCATTTATTACAGTTTTCTATATATGTCGCCTTTTGTTTGGTGCATTGAGAGTGAAAACATGCTTATACAATACAGGATCTAGGCTTAGCTACTCTCCATATGTCTTTCTGCAAAAATATGTGATTTCCATTCTTTTGCTTGCTTTTGGTTTCAAATTCCTTTACCAAAGTTTTCTATGCTTTATGTAGACAAAATCTTGGTTTTGATATACTAATAAAAAGTGATGGAATTTTTTTTGGGAAACAGGCTTGCTAGAGGATCTTGGTGCTGCACCAGCTGGAGCTGTAGTGCTTCTTCATGCCTGTGCTCATAACCCAACGGGTGTTGATCCAACTGTTGAACAATGGGAGCAGATCCGGAAGCTGATAAGATCTAAAGGGCTATTGCCTTTCTTTGACAGTGCTTACCAGGTAATTGTCTGGTGTTATAAACTTATGGCTAAAGCTGTGTGTGGAGTGTGATAAATGTTAGAATGCTGCTAGTGTACTACATAGATGTTATTCTTATAGTTTTCATAAGCTCTAGAATGGTTATTTTACGCACTTAAATTTTGACATCCAGGGATTTGCAAGTGGTAGCTTAGATGCGGATGCACAACCTGTTCGCATGTTTGTTGCAGATGGAGGGGAATGCTTTATAGCTCAAAGTTATGCAAAAAACATGGGACTTTATGGGGAGCGTGTTGGTGCTCTCAGCATTGTAAGATGCTAGACTTGTAAATTTTGACTAAATTTCTTTCATTATTACTATGGATTCTTTCATGGAATAATAATAATAATAATTAATAAGAAGAATTTTATAGGTCTGTAAGGCGGCTGATGTTGCAAGCAGGGTTGAGAGCCAGTTGAAGCTTGTGATTAGGCCCATGTATTCCAATCCACCAATCCATGGTGCCTCAATTGCATCCACCATCCTGAAAAATAGGTAGGTTCTTTGTGTAACCAAACTACCTGTATTTTAGATCGTCAGATGACACAGAAACTAGTAGCACTGCAAAAATTCAGAAAATGGAATGTCCGCAAGCACTGCAAAAATTCAGAAAATGGAATGTCTGCAACATGTATTGGTGTTATAGATTGAAGAAAAGTGAATCTTATGATTCTTTAGAGAAGTTCATTACTTTTAATGCCGAAGTGATATTAATTAGGGAAGGAAAACATTTATTCATTTGTTCTGGTGTAATTGTTCATCTATGATTTTCTTGTTGGACTTTGAGTGAGGTAATTACTCATGTGAATTCACTTGTGGACTGCATATTTTCCTTTTAAATTTCTTTTGTTTATTTATTTTGCAGTGATATGTATAATGAGTGGAAGATTGAATTGAAAGCAATGGCAGACCGAATTATTAGCATGAGGAAACAACTATTTGATGCTTTAACTGCTAAAGGTTTTGCTTAATCCTTTCTTTCAATGCTCTATATCTGTGCTCTTTTAATGTTTATTTTAGGCTTGAACTAAGGTTGGTAGGTATGAATCTTTGGTGTATTCCATAAAATCAGAAACTAAACATGTTTCTATCTCCTTTCTTGCAGGTACCCCAGGTGACTGGAGTCACATTATCAAGCAGATTGGAATGTTTACTTTCACAGGATTGAACGGTGATCAAGTTGCCTTCATGACCAAAGAGTACCACATTTACATGACATCTGATGGGTAAACAGATCTAGTTCCTTTTTCTTTGAACTTTATTTCTAGGCTAGAAAATCATTCCATAAGGTTTCTCCTCCTATACGATGCCGATGGCCAATGCCCAATGTGATGAATGTTGAATAGCATTAAAGCCTTATATTCAACATGAAGATAGCTTCTTTACTGCTAACATGAAATTGTTCAAATATTACAATTCTAGTTACATTTGGTGATTCTCTTCGTCCAATTCTAGCTACTCTGACCCGTACCCATAGAAATTGGGGGGGGGGGTTCTGAAGTCTGTATATTCTACGAACCATATAACTCTTTTATCGACAGTTGGATCTGCAACATGCTAAATAATGGTTCAAATCGAATGAAGAATTCTTGTTTATTTTGCAGGAGGATTAGTATGGCAGGTCTTAGCTCCGGTACCGTTCCCCATCTTGCTGATGCTATACATGCTGCAGTCACCCGTGCCTCTTAGAAAGCAAATTTCAAAGTTATATACCGACCATCAAATTACATTTTGGCTTTTAGCCCCATCTATGTAATGGCTTTTCTCTCCAACTTTTCAAGCAAATATGATTTTCCATAATAATTGCTAGTCCTGGATTCGAACCAGGTTTTTGGATATTTCGATTTCAATGTTATAAAATTGCCTTTGACTTTATGCTAAACGCCTTCATAAATGGAATACTTGCAGTTAGTATCAATAGTTTGCGATACTAAATATGTAGGATACGGAACCGGATTATAGAATATTTGTTTGTTTCTTTTTTTATTATAAAATAATCAATTCGATTTTCAATTGCATGTTAAAATTGTCAAATTCCAGTATATGGGAAGAAAGTACCAATTTATATAAAAAGGTGCTACATTAGAAACACACAAATTGGAGTACAAAATCTTATATTGAATATTTTGTATTCGATTCTCATTTGAACAAGGCCTTGGGTATTCAATCCAGATTGGTTTGGGCTATAAAATTCATTTTGTTATTTAAAATATTAAAAATGTTTCTGTATTTTATAATCAAATTAAATACAGATTAGTAGGGTTCAGAAGGAATAACAATCTCAGTTATATATTAAGGTTATTGCCCCCATTGGCATCCTCTGAAATCCTGCATGGGGCTGAATTATATTATTATATACATAAAAGTAAGTTAACTATCTTTGTTCCTTTACCTTTCTTTTTTTCTTCTATTTCCTCCTGTTTCCTTTCCTTCTAAATTGTATCAGTTAATCCTCCATCAATCTTGACCATTGGGGTACTTCTTATCCCATTAAAGTTCTCAATCCTCTCGAGGCAAGAACTTTCTTTGGGGTCGAACCATTTAATGGCACATTATCAACCTTGAAACCGACGTCTATAGTGATTCCGAGAGTCTCGGTATCTCCGCAGCACTCGATCTCAATGCATCTATGTTCGACATCGGAGATGGAGCCGGCGATGATGTTCGAGTAAGTGCATCTGCATGAAGAACATCCTCGATTCTTGACATCACCGAGTAAGCCAAGCTTTCAAGTACCCTGGAATAGCTCTCCAGGATAGCCAGTCCTACATCCTATTGAAAAATGTTGCAACAAAGAGTTTAAACAAGTTCATCATACTCGTAATGCATTGAGGAAGAAGACTAAGAATATGGTTTTTAGTGTACTCTGTTTTCTTGGATCTTTGATATGTCAAGTGAAGATTGTGGAAGTCCAGGAAAATGCTGCTTGAGTATGAGCAAGACTGTCTCGGCCCTTTCTTCGAATAGTTCCCTTTTTCCGACACTAACGCCTGTACCCGGCCATGAAGGCCTTCCATCTTTCTGGACCATCTTCCTTTTCCAAATAACAATGGAGGCTTCGATCCTGTTCTTAAAGTCGAGAACTTTGTGTTCCGTCGAGAAGTCCATCGTCGAAAGGAGCTGCACTGTATCGAAGTGCTCCACTGTGATGCTTTTATAGATCGAATCACCAAGGCTTTCTCTTCCATTCTGCATCAGACATAATGGAACAAAGTCAGTGGCAGCATGGTCGGGCATATTTGTTGCTTCCTAACTCATCTTCCAATCGATTCATGTCACATTTCGACAACGGTTTCTTTTACCTTGGGCAGGGAATCGATGTAGCTTTCGGGGACTGCTATTTCGGACAGGACTTCAGCATTAATGTTCATTGCTGCTTTCAGCACTTGGTTCACAGACTCCTTCTGATATTGCAGCCATTTACGTTGTGTTTCCGATAGACCGTTTTCCGGAACCTTAACAATCGGATGCCACCATTTGTCTTCCCTTTGGCTGCTTTCCTGCCCTTCAAGATCATTCTTGGACACATACCAAAACTCCTGTTCTTGTCCAAAGTTGTTGAGAGTCTCCTGTGTCATTCATCATACAATATGATCAGCAACAAAAGTGTTAAACCTTTTACCATCAGCTCGAAAAGAATAGAGATACTGACGATGAGCATTGCGTCGAGTTTGCGCAGGCCGGGTATATTCGTGAGCAGATCGGCCCGTTGTCTCGTGACCATAACCTGTCAAAGTCGAAACAAATTTTATTACCAGCAAAATCAAATTCGATACAGATTATGATTGATGTGGTCACCTCCATGTTCGTTCCATCCTTAGATGTCTGCTTTGAAGGAACAAATTCAACAATGTGATCAGTAACAGATAATATCCAGTCCATTTCTTTTCTCCACCTTGCCTTCCTTTCTAGAGCCAATGGCTCCAACTTCCCTTTCTCTCCAAAAATGGATGCTGCAAATATGTGATCAGTAACGATATATATTTCTCGAACTTGAGATGATTGCCGGATACAAATATGTGTCAAAACACATGTTTACTCGATATTTTCTATAATCATAATTATATTCGAATATATGTCGAACAGCGATGCATTAAGCCTATAAGGGAACAAGCGCATCCCTATTATTTTTGAAAAAAATTGTAAAAAATAGTTTAATGGATTATGGTGAGGAGAAAAAAATACGAATTTTGCATACTATTTTTTTTCTGAAAAAGAAGTACTAAAATCTTGAACCCAATATTTAATTTTTGGATCCGTACCTGGATATATATATATATATATTTCGAAAGAAAAAAAAAGAATTAAGAATACCTACCGGCTAGGTTAGTGACTGCATTTGACAAAGCGAGAGCTGAATTAACACCTTTTCCACCACCCGACATATCTTCACCCAAAAGCAGCTTTGCAAACCTTTCCTTCATCATCTCCATATCTGTATCAATGGCAGCTGTGGTCGAAATTTTTACGGATCATGAATAATACTTACACTCAAAATTTTATATAAAGATGAACTAACCTGCACGTAACTCATCGGGTGCAACTGGCTCAGACTGTTCCACATTTTGATTCACTATTGATTGTTCTTCTGCGTTTTTCATGTCGATACCTTCAGGCACGTTGGGGACGGGGACGCTACCGTTTGGGATGAGATTTTGGTGGTGAGGCTTCCCGGAATTGTCAGAAGTTTTCGAACCTTTGAACGATGCCGCCGAGGTAAGTATGGTGCACTTACGTGTTATTGTGCGAAGCATACTGTCAAAATTATGCAGATTCCGCTTCTTCTTTGTTAATACAAATAAAAAAACAAAGAAGAAGAAGAAGAAGAATAGGGAAAGAAAACAAGTTTCGATAGGGTTTATGTGAACGGGCAGAGGTTGAAGAAATAATAAGGTTCGAGTGGTCAATTATCGTTTACTGTTTTTACGTCCAGAGAATGAGCGGTCTGCATGTTTTCACAAACATAAATTAAACGTAAATTCTAAATAACAAAAGAAATTCGATGACCTTTGTCTAAAAAAGAACATCTAAATTGTTGAGAAAAATCAATGTTGCATAATATCCGGTTAACTGCCTTAACTAACTTATCGGCAATAAAATTAAAGCTAAAGTTGTCGATTCTCGATTGGTCTAATATGAGACGTTAGATCTTTTAAATAAAATTATAAAATTAAATTTAAAATAATTAATTAAATTAAATTAAATAATCATTATCATAATAAATATCTATAATATCTAATTTAATTTAATTAACCAACAAACCCGATATCGATGTTTCATGTTTGTAGTGGATGTCATGGGGCAAGACAGGCAGCAGATCACCCTTGACTCATTTGTACCCGTGATTTCATTATCCATTATGCATCTATTATAACTTTATAATAGATCATGTAAAATATTACTCATTCGAACGATAACTATAAATATAAAATATATAATGAGATTTATTTTTTGTTTGTTTTATATTAGGAATATTCTACAATGTTTGATAAGCACTGTTGAATACTACTACCGAACAACACTATTAGCTTAATTTATAAAATTTTAAAATTCTAAATGACTCAGTGTATAATTATAAATTAATTAAAAATCTAAAATAAAATATTAATTATATATTTTTTTTGTAGTTTTTGGGTAAATTATACCATTGACCACCTAAATATTATCCCTTTTCTTTTTTACCATCATTTTTGAAATTTTACCAATCAAGTCATCTAATTATTTAAATACATTTAATCAAACCACTTAATAGAAGTGTTGACGTGCAGTTAATAATATTGGTATAATTACATGTTTGATTCTTAATATTTATAAATTCTATTAATCTTATCATAATTTTAATTCAATTTAATAAATTTAATCTCCAATTAGTTGATGACACGTGTCACTACCAGATTGAAGGATATTTTATTAATTTAATTATTTTATTTTATTTTGTATCCAATCAGGTGATTACATATAATCTGATATCACATTATTTGATAAGCAAAACACAGTAAAACATAATATGCTCTTAGGGAGAATCAAAGAAAATATATCACAAGGTTAATTTGATAAAAAATACTTCTTTTTCTAATAGTATGTGGTGATTATTATCAAGAATATTTCTTAACTAATTAACGGAGCATCACTTTACAGATACTCTACTCTAACCTAAAATATTTAATATAAAAGATATTTCTAAATAATTTTATATTCCGATAATCAAATGTTATAATCTTATATCACTTATAAATAATTTAGACTATCAAATAACGATACATTCTAAAAATTATTTTACAATCATGTAGACGGTGAGGATTCAATTGCATTTATGATAGCCACCGAAACAAGTGCTACATTTCCACAAGAGAATGATTTCTAAATAAAAGTGCTACAAGCTTCACTTCAACTGGTTGGCGTGGGAAGCTTGGATGACAAGCTGTTTCTTGTCGGGGAAAGCTTCATTTCTCTCTTCGAAACCTTTCCCAATCTCTATTGGTCGCAATTAATGCAATTTACGTGCCATCTACTCAACAAGGTAATATAGATCTGCAAAGTGGAATCCTTCGTGTCGAGACGGTTAAAATGGCTGCCCACGTGGCCAAACGGTGTCATATCAGTCATTTTATCGCATCAAATCAACATTTCGTTACTCCAATAATACGAGTAACCAATTTATTATAAAGATAATATAAGAGACTGATTTATTAGCAAACACCAGTGACCATTTGTTTAGTTTATCCGAAAAAAACTTACGTTACTGGTAACTGTCCTTTCCCTCCTCGTGCTTTCCAACAGATTTCGTTTGTTTTTATCTTTTACACCCTTTATTCCTGCGAGACGTGTACGATAAATTTAAAACATCTCACCGCCGCCGCGGAATCACGCCGCTCACCAAGCTTCTTCTTCAAACCATCTCTTTCTTTTGTGTCCCATTAAATTAATCCAACTCAACTTATTTTCTTTGATTCGGAACCAAAACCCGAACTTTCTTCTGTTGCACACGTCTCCTTCATTGCTTCAACATCAAACTCAATGCTCCTCACTGCTTTGCTTCTCTCTTTGGATCTGAGTCTCTGCTCTTTCACTTGCAGCAAAGGTCAGCATTCCCAGGTTAAATTCTTGGATCTTTCTTATTTTTTTCCCTTCTTTGCATGCATTTTTCTCATCTGGGTCTTCTTTGTTTTGCTTGGGTTGGTTTTGTTCAAAGTCGACGATGAGACGAAATTGGGTTCTCAATTTTAGTTTTAAGGATCCATTTGGATAAATAAATCTATGGAATATGATTTTGTTAGGAAATAAACCGAGTACAAGTAATTTCCCTATAACCAGATTAGTGAGAATGCGAAATAAAAGCGGAAAAATAATATTCAAAAATCATTTCTTTCTCCAATACTAGAGAGCTTTCTTGTGAGTAGTGAGTGTTTTGTAAACACCTGTAAAATTTCTCTCTTAGTAAAAGATCTGCAGCAGTCCGGAGACGTAAGCAAAATTGGCTGAACTCCGTTATCAATTTCGGGTATTATTTTTCCGCTTTTATTTTGCATTCTCACTAATCTGGTTATAGCAGTTGTTAGTCAGCAACAAGTAGTGCAAAGAAGGCGAATACCGTTGGGTTGGTTTAGGAATTCTGGAGGAGCGTCTCAGTTCTGGTGTGCCTGGTTCTTCCTCTTGAACTGCTTCAGGACTGATCTGAACATCATTTCCAGAAATCTCCTCGAACTCAGCAAATTCCTTTGTTTCAGCTTTGGTATTACTTGATTCTGCGGTTGACCTGTCTTTGTACATCACATTTTCATTGAAAATGACATCTCTGCTTCTGATGATCTTCCGATTTTCATAGTCCCAAAACCAGTAACCGAACTCATCACCGCCATAACCAACAAAGGCACATTTGTTGGACTTAGCATCAAGTTTACTTCTTTCAGCAGAGTCTATGTGTACATAAGAAATACAACCAAACACTCTTAAGTGTGAAAGGTTTATTTCTTTCTTGCTCTAAACTTCCTCTGGTATTCTGCCATCCAAAGGAACTGAGGGCCCACGGTTGATCAAGTAAGCTGCAGTGTTGATTGCTTCAGCCCATAGAAATTTGGGCAAGCCGGCATGTATCCTCATACTTCTGGCACGTTTATTCAGAGTTTTGTTCATGCGCTCTGCTACACCATTATGTTGCGGTGTCTTGGGAACTGTTGTCTCCATCTTGATCCCATTGTTTGCGCAGAAATCTCTGAATCTACTGTCTCTGTACTCTCCTCCATTGTCAGACCTCAACCGCTTGACTTTCAAACCAGTCTCATTTTCCACCATGACCTTCCATTTTCTGAAGGTATCAAAGACTTCTGATTTCTTCTTCAGAAAATAAACCCACACCTTCCTTGTTGAATCATCGATGAAGGTGACATAATATAGTGAGCCTGCAAGAGATGGAACTGGGGATGGTCCCCATACATCAGTATAAATCAATTCTAACCTTTCTGCCTTGGGTGTCTTGCCAATCTTTGCAAAACTGGCTTTCTTTTGTTTGCCAAAGATGCAATCCTCGCATAGTCCGACATCTACATTCTTTAGATCCGACAGCTTCCCTTTTGACAAAAGTGTCTTCATCCCTTTCTCGTTCATATGGCCAAGCCTTTGGTGCCATAGGTTTGATTTTCCATCAGCATCTGCTACTGCAATGATATTCTCTAAATTTGAGGTTACATAGAGAGTACCAGTCTTCTTACCACGAGCAATGACGAGTGCTCCTTTGGTAATCTTACATTCACATCCTGAAAAGGTTGTACTATATCCTTCTCCATCAAGCTGTCCAACAGAAATCAGATTTCTTTTGAGGCCAAGAATATGTCTCACTCCCGTCAGCTTCCAGGTGGTATGGTTTGGCAGCTTTAGTCGGATATCTCCTTTTTCGACGATCTTTAAGGTTTCATCACCAGTAAGATGAACCTTCCCAAAATCACCACTAACATAGTTCTCCATGATTTCTTGGCATGAGGTGGAGTGAAAAGATGCCCCTGAATCCAAGATTCATGATTCAATCAGACTGTTGACGCTTAGAATCATGACATCAACTGTCTCCTCTGTCACGTTGGCAGATTCATATGCACCAGTATCTTTCTTCAGTGCTCGGCAATCTCTTTTAAAGTGACCTTTCTTGCCACAATTATAACAGGTAAAATCTTTCTTTCCCGTTCTGGATTTTTCCCGTCTGGTTTTTGATCTGCCACGATTTGAATATCTTTCTGAAGTTCTTCCTCTATACTTCACGTGCAAGGCTGAGGAGGTTGATGTTTCACCCGATTCTCTCCGTCGAATTTCTTCACTCAATACCAGATCCCGAACATCGTCGAATTTCAATTTGTTGCTTCCCGACGAGCTGCTGACTGCTGTAACAGTAGCATTCCAACTGTCTGGTAGAGATGATAAGAGAATTAAAGCTCGAACTTCATCATCGAACTCAATTTCCACTGAACTCAACTGGGTTGTGATTGTGTTGAGTTCATTTAGGTGTTGTGCCACCGATGCCCCTTCCGTCATCCGCAAATTGAATAATCGCCTCATCAAATGAACTTTGTTTGAGGCCGATGGCTTCTCATACAACTGGTAATCAGAGCTTTTGGTTGTGAATTTTGTCAATTTTTCTGCGAGGTTACTATTCATTACTATTCACATGAATAGTGAATTTCGTGAATAGTGAAATTTCAGTCGGCGATATGAGTTTGTCGACGGTGGTGTTCTAATACACGGTGGTTCGCAAGAATTGTCAGAAACGATCCAAAAGAAGCCAGATTCGAGTGGAAGCGATGGCTGCAGACGAAGGGAAGGTGAAAATTGAAAAGTTCGATGGTGCGGACTTTGGCTTTTGGAAGATGCAGATTGAAGATTTTCTGTACCAGAAAAATCTTTATCAACCTCTCTCAGGAAAGCAACCAGAGGGCATGAAGAATGAAGACTGGGCTCTTCTCGACCGACAAGCCCTCGGAGTCATCCGACTGACGTTGTCCCGAAATGTTGCTTTCAACATAGCAAAGGAAAAGACCACTATGAAGGATTTGGGCGCTGCAAAGCAGATTCTTGGGATGAGGATCAAGAGGGACACAAAGTCGGGGACTTTGATGTATCACAGGCTGAGTACATCAACAAAGTACTCTCCAGGTTTAACATGCAAGATGCTAAACCAGTAAGTACACCTTTAGGTGTTCATTTCAGACTCTCCAAAGAACAGTCACCAAAGACGAAGGAAGAACATGCTATGATGAAGCGATGCAGGTGGATGATTCAATCAAGTGGGAGTCTTCCATGAAAGATGAGATGGACTCGCTTATGTCAAATCAGACGTGGGAATTAGCTGAATTACCACCAGGTAAGAGAGCGCTCCATAACAAGTGGATTTACAGGATCAAAGAAGAGCACGATGGGAGCAAACGCTACAAAGCAAGATTGGTTGTCAAAGGCTTTCAGCAAAAAGAATGTATTGACTACAATGAAATTTTCTCTCCAGTCGTGAAGCTGTCTACAATCAGACTGGTATTGAAAATTGTAGCTACAGAGAATTTACATCTTGAGCAGTTAGATGTAAAGACAGCTTTCCTTCATGGTGATTTGGAGGAAGAAATCTATATGAGGCAGCCAGAAGGCTTCATAGAGGCAGGCAAGAAAAACCTAGTATGCAGGTTGAAGAAGAGCTTGTATGGTTTAAAACAAGCTCCTAGACAGTGGTACAAGAAGTTCGATAACTTCATGGGTAGCAGTGGTTTTACCAGATGTCAAGCAGATCATTGTTGCTACATCAAGAGGTTCGACAACAGATTTAGATGGGATTCTGTTTTTCTTTTCTCCATTTTTTAATAGCCTTTGCTTTTGTTTATTGGGATGGCAGCAACTGAGTTAGGATTTTTGCTTATGTTGTTTTCATTGATCCAGAGCTGAACAATTGTTGCTGTTGTCTGTTTCGGATAATCTTTTGAAAAGGACTGAGAAAATCGAAAGGCATACAAGAAATCATCTCATGAGAATATGTTTTAGTGTTGGTGGATTTGGTATTTGAGTATTGTAAGCATCTGACATATTATAAAATGGTTTGGATAAGCAGACTATGCCTCAAGATGGTCTAAGATCGATTGTTTACAGATCATTTGTTGTGTGTGATGATCCGAAGGGAGTCGTTGAATCCGCGGCAATTACGAAGAAGATGGAGCATAAGAACAAAGGCCGAGTATCGAGGAAGGGCGAGAGAGGAGAGATGGTGTCTAAAGGTGGTGCCATGGAAGAACTTCATGGCTCCTCTTCCTGTCAACTGTTGGAGGTTTCGAGAGGAGCTCAAAAGCTGAATCAGGTGATCAGCTCGTGGTCGAGAGGAGGGATTTGGTGCGATCAGCACTCGAAAGATATAGCAAACGATCTGTTGAAAGGAGCTCTCGAATTGCAGGATTCTTTACACGTGCTCGGGAAGTTTCAAGAAGCTTCTCATTTGGCTAGGTTGAAGAAGAAAGAAAAGGAAAATTCCGATGTGATTTGGAGAGTGAATTCGAGTCTAGTCGGAGAGCAGAATTACCAGAAGGGAATTCAGAATCCACAAGTTTCTGCTGGTGTTTCTTCAAGAGATTGCATTGAGGAGCTTAGGGAAGTGATTAGAGATAGCTTGGCTAGGCAAAATCTATTGCCTAACATAATTGCTGAAGAAAGAAGATGCTTCAATTCAAGATATCCAGATTCAGCTTCGGAAATCCCGTCCACTAGCTCAAGCCGATCTTTGTCTTTTCAAACCAACAACTTTACTTCCATGATATGTCTCTCTGGTCGGCAGCTGAAGAGAAGAAGGCAAAAGGCCCGAGTTTGATCGCAAAGCTTATGGGCCTAGAAGAAATGCCTTCGAAACATACGGAGAAAAAGAAGATTTTCAGTCAACAGAGACCTACTTTTGAAATCAATACGCCGAAAGTAAGGAAGTCTCAATTTGTTTCCCAAACAGAAGATCAGGAGAAGACGCTGAATGATGTCCTTGAGAACATGCATTTTAAAGGGCTTCTGAAAAACAACTCCATCAAGGAGCCTGTTTCCTGTCAATCAATCGGCCTCTTTTCGGGAAACAGGTTGATTAACAATAGTCCACCTATTGTACTCATAAAACCTCGACATGATCCACATCTGCTACTGCAAGAGAAGTTTGCACCCGTGTTTCAGGAGGGAAGCTTGAACTCGGAAACTATGCTTAGAAAGTCGAAAGTAAACGTCGGTAAAATGAGTAGGAGAGTGGAAGCTAAAGAAACTCCTGTGAAGAGACATATCCGGCAGGAAGATGGAAAAGACAGACAAGTAAAGGAGACCAGAGCAGTGACAAAGCAAGTGAAGATTAAACAAAGCTTTCCTACTAAGGTGAAATGTTCGAGTTCTATAACTCGGGCATCGCTGAAGAAAATGCCCACTCCAAAGAACATCAACATGATGCCAAAGCCTATGATAGGAAGCAGGAAACCAGTTGAAAAGGAAATTGCTAAAGCAAAGAACTTATCAAGGTCTAAAGATCAAGCCAAGGTTGCCCCTCGAAAGCTCTGTAAACCTGAAAACCCATCAAATGTTACAAAGAATAAAATTTTGCATCAACCAAGTGCAACCGCAAACGAAGTTGCAAACTCCAACTTGGTCAACTTGGTTTGCAGACCACAAAGTACAGTTCGTGGCCCTATTGATGAGAAAAAGAGTTCAACAAAGAAGGCATTGACCAAGGCTACGATAGCTAAAATATCTGTGAGTTCTTTTAAGTTTACTTTCTGCTGTTATTATTCTTATTTCATTAAATGGCATGTTGACATCCGAGATTTAAATTGCATTTGCTTCATGTATTAAGCTATGAAAACAGGATCGAAACGTTATTAAATGCAGTTTAGCTTCTGTGCAGACTGAAAAGTTACAATGCAAAGGAGATAAGGTTGTTTTGGAAGGAAAGAAGATTGTTCTTGTATCTGAAAATGATACTGTTTTGGAAGAAAAGAATGATCTTGCATCAAATAACGATACTGTTTCGGGAGAAAATAGCATTGATATTGCATCAAATAATGATACAGTTTTGGAAGGAAAGGGGTTTGTTCACGAGCTGGAAAATAATACCATTGTCGAAGGATACGGCGCTGAAACCGCAGAGGAACTTTCAACAGAAGAGGGAACAGAGCACACCGATATTCAGATTGGAGGTAACATACTTTGTGACTGGAATTTTATTAAATCACAGTGTTGACATTAGCCAGATTCCAATTGCTCGCATTAAAGATGCATTTTTGATGTAATGGCATATACAATGTCTGTCATATTGAAATCATTACATGTTGGAATTTGCTGTTTCTCTCTTCTAATGCCTGACACTTCCTCCTCCAACAAGAACTGTTAGGACTGTCAACAACATAGTATCCGACATCGACTGTGTCCTACACGTTGAGATTTTAACTCAGGTTGTCTTGTCTTGAACTTGAGAACCAACTTACTGAAAAAAAAAACATGATCAAAATGGGGATGCTGACTTTTCTTGTCTTTTGCCTTGTTTCCCTTATAGAGCACTGCAGTGAGAGTTATGTTTGTGATGTCACCCTGGTTACAACCGATGATCAAAACAGCAGAAAATCTTTTGACGAAGTCGATGATGATCATCCCATAACTCCCATCGGAGCCAACAGTGAAAGCTTCACGAAAAGGATCAATCTAAAGGCATTGCTATTGAGCAGTCCAGCTTTTATGAATCATGTAGATGAGCTTTTCGATCTTCACGTGGATGTTCCTATAGCTTCACAAAAATTTGGCATTGGTGACTTCTCAGATGCCGACTCACGATTTTCCTTTGACTGTGCAAAGGAAATTGTTCAACGGAAAAGCCATCCCAATTCTCGAATGCTCCTCCCTCCTTGGTTAAGCCTGGTTGGAGACACCAAAATGCATCTCTCTCTAGATCATTTGTTAAAGGAAACTTGCGACGGTGTCGAAGATCTGAGAAGGTATAGTGAAATTTCCGGAAAAAACTACCCCACCGTTCGCCTTTATGCAATGATGGAAAGAGATATAAACCACAGTGAAGCTTTGAGTGGAATATGGGACTTGGGTTGGAAGAAAAGATTCTCAGTGGATGACACAATACAAGTAGTAGAAGACATAGAAAAGGAACTATTAAGAGGATTAATTGCAGAGATTTGTTCATAAACCTTCAAAATCATAGTCTCTGTAAGAGATATAAACACCACCGCTCTGTAAGTCTCTGGAGGTCCACCAAGAAACTCAATTTTGGCCTAAAGCTTATTCAATCATTGAACCTACATGTGTCAAGCTTAAATTTCTAAAGGGCAACCTATAAGCAGCAGCCTTGCTGAAAATGACAACCAACCCAAGAAGCAACCAAATTCATAATAAAAAAGAATAATTCACATTAGTCTAACTCAACCATATTATTGGTTTCAAGAACACTGCAAACAAGCATAAAGAGACATTTGAACTACTGAGTTTATCAATTTGAACACAACCCTTGACAGCAGCAGCAGCAGCAGCAAGCTTATATTACTCTTTACATCTCTGCTGTGCTCCGCCCTTTTGGCCCTCCGCCCAGACTCGACTTGTGTTCATAAGATTAAAATCTAAGAAGATGAACCCTTGAATATAAGGAAATTGAGAGTCCCCAAAGCAAAATAAACAAAAGTCCCTCTCGTATGAGTAAAGAAGCACCCAAACTTTGAACCCACCACACATTGCCATCCTCCTCCATATCTCTTGTCAAATTCCTGCAAAGTAAGAAAAGAAATTCCCACATACATACTAAATTCTTCCATATAAAAACAAAAGAGAAAAAAGGGTATCGAAAATGAAGACCTTTTTGATGTGAGTAGCAATCGAGATGCAATCAGAAACATCATAGAGATCAAGCGCTTGAGAAGCGTAATCCACGGCCTGGGTTTGCATCTTCTCCGGCATATCGGTTTCTTTTATCGTAGCTATGCCTTCCAACATTTTTCAGCTTCTTTTCGCTTTTGTAATGAAGATTTTATTACATATGAAAAGTGAAAACACACACAAGTTTGAAAAGTAAAGCCAGGAGGCTCCGTTATATGGAAGAGGAAATGGGAAAAGAGGAACATTATTGCGAATGAATCATACAACTTTTCAGATGGCGGCACGTATTCCAACCCTTTTTCTAATTTGTCAGATTCTTCAAATTAGGCATCGTCTACATATATCTAATCTAAGAATCTAATCCAAAGTGACGCGAAGCGTTGTTGGATTCTAGCGGTAATTATTTAAATATCACTGGGTACGGTAATGGATTAGGTTGGATTGAGTTAGAATTTTTGGTTAGTTATTTTGTTGAGTCTAAATTATTAAAAGATAAAATGATTATCAGATTATAGTATGATATTTTGTTAGATCTTTCAACTATTAAAAGTTACAAAATAATCATTTGATTATTCATTATATTCTAAACTCGTCTTTTTTTGTTAAAAAATTTGTGATCCTCTGAGCTAACTATTAATATGTTGATTGATATATGATAGTCGTTTGAAATTATAAGATAATATTTTATCATATTTCAGTCGGCATGTTAATGTGCAGCTCGTTATTGTCAATTTTTTAACAAAAAAATGATTAGTTTGAAACATAATGAACAGTTGGGGGACTATTGTGTAACTTTTAATAATTAATAGACTCAACAAAGCAGCATCTTATGGTTGGGAACCATTTTGTTACTTTTAATAATAGAATGACTTAACAAAATAATATTATATAGTCGATGGATCATTTGTGTACTTCACCCATTTTAAAAATATATTTATTTGAATTTGACTTGATTCAAATTTAGAAAGATCGTATTTGATTTAAAATTTAATTTAAATTTTAAAATAAAAATTTATATTTGATATAATGTGATATAAATATATATATAAAAAATTTATTCCTATAGAGTAAAATAAAGATTACAAAAATGATAATTATATCAATTATCTCTAGATAGAAAATAGTTAATTGCATCACAAATCTTTAAAGTATGATCCTTATTTTAAATTGATCCCTAAATTTTTAAATATTTAAATTATATCCCTAAACTATGATTATTATTCTAATTTAATCCTCAAACTTTTGAATATTTCAATTTTAATCCCCAAACTATGATCTTCATTCTAAATTGATCCCTAAACTTTTTTGAACATTCCAATTTCTTCTCAAGCTATATGTATATACTAATCACATCCCTTGTTAATAAAATTGTTAGACCATGTTATATTAATATATGCTTGAAAAACAAATTTTAGGTTAAATTAAGGTTGAAACTAATTATATATTTGGATGAATTGTGGATAAAATTAGAATATTCAAAACTTTGGGGACTAATTTAGAAAGAGGGTCATAGTTTAGGGATGAAATTAGAATGTTCAAAAGTTTAAGGTATATTTTAAAACGAATTCATAGTTTGGGAATGAAATTAGAACATTCAAAAGTTTAAGAACTAATTTAAAATGAGGGTTATAGTTTGGGGATATATTATACAATTAACTCAGAATAAAATTATATTAGTATATCAAGTGAGATTTGGTAAGAGATTTTTCACCCTAAACTCGAACATTATTTGTAACACCCCCAACCTGTACCTAACCCAGATACGAGTCCGAGATGTCACATTGGCTTTTTAAAACAATATTCTTACAAAATAACAAAACATTTAGACTTATATTAAGAAAATACGATAATATACGGTTGAATTATATTTCGTTATGACGAATTTAAGGAAAAAACGTTTTTCTGAATAATACTATATTGTATAAATAGTACTGATACTGTACAAATAGTACCGTGAACAGTAACGAACAATATCAATGCAAAAAAATCCAAAATGCTACAGTGGTAACGATACCCTGCTACAGTGTACTGATACTCTGCTACAGTATATCAATACTCTGCTACAGTAATTTCAACCAACTTATATAAAACTCATAAAATTTAACCTTTCATCATTATAAAGTTACCATTTACATAAATACATTTAAATTATTACAAAACTCAATCACATGATTTTACAAAACGGATTACAACATGTCGGATTCAAATCTTTATTTACATGCCAAACACAATTAATATTACAAAACACAAACTATTCAATTCTTTTATGAACTGATATTTGGAAAGAAGAAACTGACATGTCTTGCATAACTTTTATCAATCTTTCTCTTCTCGAAACCTACTTGTGAAACAATCACACGCTAAGTCGTTGACTTAGTGAGGCATATAAAATGTCTAAGATAAACTCTGGCTTATAACAATGCATGTAAAATTAATACTATCATATCGTACAAAATCATATAACATTTCATATAATTAAATATATTCATATACATAACTCATTATTTCCATCATTACCTCATTCCATTATCATATCACATTTTTCTTCTAGTCATTCTTAATTAAGCAATACACACACTACAACATATATTCTGTCATGCAACAATTATCCACTTGCACATATGTTATTATTCACATTCTTATTTATGTACATCATATAACACACATATCATCCTATAACCCTTGTATTCCATTTTCCATAACATATCACACATACACATATCACATATAATATATTTATATTAATGTTTTATTAGTCCATGTATACTTTTGAGAACTTAAGGTATGCGAGTGCATTGAGGTTGTGCACAAATGTTGTCACCACAGCTCGTATAAATGCACCGAAGTGTCACGTAGAATTGCACCTAAGTGTCGCGTAGAAATGCACCGAAGTGCCATATAAAATGTCCATAAGGACCACATAGAATTTCTTTAAGAATCATATACATATATCAAGGATCAAGTAGGTGTCTCAAAAGACATCATACATGTTCCAAAGAATACATATATGTCCCGAAGGACCACGTACACTCTCGACTCTTGGCATGCCAAATATACCTCTAGATCTCATGACACATAACATGTACATTATCTTTTATATTTATCACATATTCATATCAGCACATAGTTCACTTACACATAGAACATTTCATATGATTCATATTCACATATTACATTGCTTATACCTCGTTCTTATGTCTTCTCATAGACATATATTCTTTCTCACGTAGTCACATAAAATAACATATAAACTTATACATGAAATCATATCATTTATTATCTCATAGTTCATGTCATATTTTCATATAATCACACATTACATCACAGATACACATGTAGTCATTCCATTTCACATGTAGTTTCCTAACTTATCCTTGTATAGATCATATAATATTCTCCTAACTCATATTTATATATATTTATATATCACAACATATTAACATCTATCCTTTATTCACATCATTATATACTAGCTTAATATATTTACTTAGTTCAGTTCCACATAGCACCTAGAATCTTCTCATATAACTTCATAAATTTTTACCATTTACCTCATATCCTAGTTTCCTTTAATCATATAAACTTTCCAATATAACTTATTTTGCACCTTCATATAATCACTATGTCTATGTCTCTTAATTTATATACTATTCTTATAGTATTCTACAGTCAATGCTATTTATATTATTTCACTTCTTAGTTAATCATATAATTTTATTATACTAGTTCACTTAAATTATCTCCCAATCATGTTTTAGCCTAATTCATAATCATATTGTTTATCCCCGTTTAATATACCTATATAGTTCATATCACATACATCCATGTAAACATACTCTTATTCATATAATCATATCAACACATAATCATGTATACATACAAATCATGTCATTTACATACTTATAATCATAAATTCATGCATTCTAATATAGGAAGTAGACTTATCGCAAGTCTTAATTCCATAGCATAACTTACACTTATTATCATGTACTCACATTAGCTACTTGCCAATACCAACTCTTGTTCTTTCTTGAATCTTACTCTGACGACCCATCCGAACTTTGCTTTCAATTGATGTCTACACAATCATGTATTAATACTTATCAGTATTTTAAACATCCTACTCTAATCTTTCGTTTCTTAAACTAAAGGAAAGATTTATTTCCATTTTCCTTTTGAAGTGTATTGGTTCAAATTGAATGTGTACCGATGCACTTTGCCCATAAATTGTATTTTAAGCTCGAAAATTCATCATTTTCAGCTTAAATTCTTCATGTTTAATTTCTTTTCTATTCTTAACTCAAGTACATATACTTAAACTAATTTTACTCATTCAATACATCATTAACCTCAAAATTCCATCTTTCATATGTAAATCAATAATCATATCAAATTTTCATGATGCTTTAAATCTAATTATATCACTTCATATCTCTTAATTAAGTTGATGACAAGTCAAATTTAGTTTCAAATTCAACTTATCAACTCTTTTCCAGAAATTCACTTACAAACTCATTCTCTTTAATCTTTTAAGACTTCTTCATCTGTTGATTTTAAGACAACTTAAGCTTTCCTTAAGCTTAAGTATCACCTAAGGATCAAAACCCATACTTAAAATCAACAAACAATCTAGTAATCAGAAAACTCACCTTTGCTCCCTTGGGTTCACGATGGAGAAGAAGAAAACAAGAAGAAGAATAAGAGAGTTTTCCAGCTAACTCTCCCCCTACGCGTTTCTCTCCTATTAAAGGGGAAAATATCTTTCATGTCAAATAACCAATTTTCCCTTTACTTCCTTTGATAATTACCAACAATAATTCATAAACTATTTCCATATAAATCATTGAACTATTCAACTATTCCACTTTAATCACAAAATTATGAAGTTTTACAATTTAGTCACTGACCCATAGTTTGGGATATTACATTATTTGTTCTCAGTCTTTACAAAACTTGACTTGATTTTTCTTTTTCTTTTTTCCCCCTAAAAATTTGACTATATTATATTGGATTGATTCGAAACATATTCATAAATATACATCATTTATGTACTAATAATTATTGTAGACACCCGTTTTTGTTTAGGTCTACAAAAATATTATTAAATTATATTATTATTGTAATTAATATTATACAATTACATTTACTTTTGCATGCTTAATACTTGAAGCCCAAAATACAAGCTAAATCCAGGAGCCCATGGACAATACCAAAGCCTGAAAACCAAAAAAAAAAGAATAGAGGGAAAATCAGTGAACACCTATTGCTGCCAGCACCGACCAACTCACAACCACAACACCAAATCCGCAGCAGCATCAAATCCGCATAGCAGTAGCCCTAGCACAAAAATAACAAAGTGACATCTCATTCCCCAGATTAAAAAACAACAAAATATCATGCAAAAGCAGAAAGAATATTTCCTTTCTTTTTTCTTTTTTATGTAAATCGGATGGGATTATAAGAACCCATAAAACAATGTAATATGGGAAGGGGAACAAACCCAAAAAAAGGGGTTGAGGGTCTTAATTTTTTGGTTTTAGTGGTTTAACAGGGAATCTGAAAATGTAAAAGGGGGATTTGAAAAATCCTATTTTGTAACAGGGGTTTTTCCCAATTTTATTCCGATCAATGAAGCAACAAGAAAATGATTTTCCCTTTCTTTTTCTCTCTTTCAAATTAATACCTAGCTATATGTATATATTCAAAACATAAGCAAAATAAATAAACAAAGAGAGAAAGGGGAAATGCCACATTCGATCGGATATTCGCCAATAATCGAGACTTCTTTTCCAAGATCCAAACATTGAGATGCATCACATCGATGAGGCGAGCAGCATACGAAAACTAGGACAATCTAACGACGGACGGCGACAATCAGAGCTGGGGAAGACTGAGCGATTTTCGGCCTTTTTATGACTAACGGAGCCGAGTCTCGTGAAACGGAGGTTAGATTGGCAACGAGGAGGTCAAGGTGAATCTCCTGGTGAAATTTGGTGACCATAACCACCGGCGGCGATGGCGGCGTGGCAGCGGCCGACACAATGGCCGACGAAGTTAATCACTAGCGATTGGCCGGTTTTTTAGAGAGAGGGGAGATCCTCTTTCTCTAAAAATAATTTTAAAAAATTGAAATGTAAATAAAAAAGAAAAAAATGATATTTATAGAAAACTTTAGGGCGAAATTTCACTTTAAATCCCCCTAAGTTTGTCGTGTTATGTAAAATGGTCACCTAAAGGGACCATTTTTGTAGTTTACCCATTTATGATGCATGTTTTGTATTTTTGATTTAATTTATGTTTAGTTTCTGTACTATTAGGCGTGTTTTATATTTTGGTCCCCAAATCCTTATGTTTTATTTATTTTATTTTAGCACTTTAGTTTTATTACTTTAAATTTAGTCACTAATATGTTATGTTTCATGTTTTATTTATTTATGATTTCGGCACTTTATTTTCTGTTATTTTATTTTAGTTACTGGGCTTGTTGGTGGTATATTTATTTGTTGTGCCTATAATTTTTAATGTTTATGTTTTAGTCTTATTTATTTACCTTCTAACTTGTATGATATTTTTAATCTAAATAATTTGTTTAGAAATCTTGCATGTTGGTTCCTTATTTGTTTGCATTGATATTATTGCTTCAACCTTATTTTTTATATATATTTCATTTTGTTTTCTAAATATGTAAATGTGAAATTTTATTGTGAGAGAAATCTACGAAGATATCTCCCGACTATAAGGGAAGGTGTCTTTTTGAGGATTTTTTTGCATAAATGTTTGTTTTGGATTCGATAATTCTCTTTGTTCCACGTTTATTTATTTTGATTATTTTTCAACTCTTTTCACTTTTATTTTGTTTTATTTTATTTTATTTTATCTTTGCGAAAAATTACGAAATAATGTCTTTTGTGAAGGGAAACTATGGGAAAAACTACAAAGGATGTGCATTCCCGAAGATTTTTCACACAAAAGGTCATTCACTATCCGAAAATCGACACTTTTTGAATAACGTCAAATGAATAAAAGGATCGTAATTTAAATATATTTTTGAGATTGTAATTCCCAATATTTAAACAACATATAATCGTTTAGGTACCAAACTTGGGTGTTGTGGGGGTGCTTATTCTTCCCCACACGTAATCGACTCCCGAACTCTTAAAAAAATGAATTTTTGATAAAATGCATATCATTTTTGATATAATCGTTAATGTTTCCAACTACCTAACTTAAAGGTTGGTGGGGACTTAAAAATCAAATTGTTTTCAAAATTGAATTTCATCACCTTCTCCGAATTTAAATATTTCAATTCTAATGTATCATCGAGGGAGACGCTATGACAATTATAATTATGATTTAAATGGTGTTTAAATAAAACTATTACTATTTAAAATTAAGATGAATATTTGACCCGAATTTAGTTAACTTTGACTCGAGTTTATAAATTTAAATTGATTTATGAAAATTCAGATTCAAGTTAGATCAAGTCAATTTTTTTTAAGGATAAGATCATATATTATCGAATATGGATTTAAGATAAAATAATTAACTCGATAATAATAATATATTTGTATAGATCATATCAAATATAATTTTTCCTAAATACCAGTTCAATAAAATTTCTCTAAATGAATATCGAATCAATTAATGAATAAAAGGGTAAACTATGCGAATAGTCCTTATGTTTTCTATTTGACCGACTTTATTCACCAATTTAAAAATTAAGGGGAAATGATCCCTAACATTATCAATCCATTTGATTGTAGTTCCTAATATTATCGATCTATTTGATTTTAGTCCCTAGGTCGTTAACTCTAATTCAATTTTAGTCCCTCAACATGTTAGGATTTAAACAAAATATACTTAAACAAAAGGGGTTAACAAAAATTAATAATAGACGAACTTAAATCGAACGAATTGATAATGCAATGGATAATTTATCCTTAATTTTTAAATTGACTATCAAGGTTTGTCCGACCCTAAATACAAAATCTATTCACATAATTTACCCTAAATAAAAAAATTTATACTCGAATTAAATTTAAATAAATAAAAATTTGATATTGCCCGATTCATGACTACCCTACTTAAAACACTTTTAAACGAAAATACCTAATCATAATGGAATGCAGCCTTTATTGAAAATTTTCTAAATAATGATTGAAATCGTATTATAATCACAATTATATCCATTTGTATAAAAAAAACTTTAAAACTAAATAATTATATTCTACAGATACGGGTTTCGAGGCAAAACGCTGGCACCCAATAACATTCAAAACGACAGCTCATTTACATTACAACGCCAGCAACCGCTACTTAACCAAATTAAAATATTTAAGCCTTTTTATCTTTAGTTAATCAAATCCTTCATTAAACCCCATAATTAGTGCTAAAAACACCCCAATATCTCCATTGGGAAAACCACCCTTCACATGTTTTACACCTCTTGACGCCCCATTATTCTACTCATCATCGAACAAGGAAGCAGAGATTTCAGAGAGCTCTTCCTCCATATCCCTCGTTTCATCTCAATTTCCAAATTTCAAATTATATACATTTTTTGTTTCTGTGTTTGTTGTTCGTGATTGATATAATCAGTGAGCTGGGAGGAAAGGGTGGAAGCGAGCTAGGGTTTCGGGATTTTTTGTCCGTGGAGATTAGTAGCAGCTGAGAAGTTTTTGTGATGGGCGATGAAAAATCGATGGTCGTGATGGCGAGTAGAGATCGAGAACTTCTAATCGCGGTCGCTGACTCTCCCCACGATGATACCTCCAAACCTTCTCCTTCATCTTCTTCGCATCACGCCGGCCGCGAGGTCTCTTTGTTTTTCCTTTTAGAAATAAATCATTTTATAATGACTTTTTCGGTTGTTAATTGGCGTTACATTCTTTATTGGATTCGATTTGACTTGGTCTGCTGCAGCCGTTTTTTTTGTTGTTGTTGCTACCGGTAAGGTTGCAATCAGTTCATGTGAATTATTACTTTCATAATGGAGCTTAATGTGATTTTGTTTGAATGTTAAGAGAGAAATTTGGATCTTCTAACTTGGTTTTTTTATTAAGATATCATTGTTTTTTTTAAGAATATTTATATGAAATTGAACTGTTATATTGTGTTGTAGGATTACCGCATAATTTATTGGAGCTGTTGAAAATTTTGTATTTTTTTTTCATGTTTACGTGTTTTTTAAACCAGAATATAAGACTGATGGTTGAATGGGTCTTGTCCAAGATTTGTGATAATGGTTCCTTTTTTCTCTTAGAGGCTATGTAAGTTTTTGTATGTATCCCAGATTTATATTTTAGCTTAAAATGGGTTGTGACTCATGTTAAATTGTGTACCAGAGAATATATGATTACTAATATCTTTATACACGATCTTATCAAAAAAAAATCTTTATACACGATCTCTGTTGTAAATTCCCTCTGATAAGTTTGGGTATTGAATCCTAGTCTTGAATTTGATCTCACTCTTCCCCTTATGGGACTTGTTAACATTATTTTTTCTGGTTGATGGATTTGGTTAAGAGTATTGTTATAGTTCCTATTGATATCTTCTTGAAACAAATGTTTTCAGCTGCTTGCTTGTACTGGAACTATACCTATGAGATCCTGTAATGAAACATGTACATTATTTTTTTGAATATTTTAACTGACAAGCTTTGTTTTATTTAGACATTTTACAAACTTATCCGGAGCTGGGCTTCAAAGAAGTTCATGACGGGATGGTAGGTGGCATGCTTGATTTATCATGAATTTCTTCTGCTACTTGTCTATCATTATATAAAAATGGTAGTTCTTACCATCATGACTATGTAGTAAACTTTTACTTGATGACTCAGAATCTTCGTAGATTTGGTTTCAAATTTTATCTTATGGAAATTCTATTGGCATTTACTTTGCTGTTATGGCAGTGGCTGATTCATTTTTGTTTTGCAGTGTCATTCTGTTTCCTATAGCAATCACTTTCTACATAACATGGTGGTTTATTCACTTTGTGGATAGCTTTTTCTCTCCAATTTATGCTCAACTTGGCATCGATATATTTGGTTATCATCTCACTTAGTAGCTTAAAAGCTCTCTTCTTTGCCTCTCCCTTTTAGACCTGTGAACTTGTTTATTAGTTTGTTAAATCATTCTCTTTCCTTTCTTTAATTGCATCTTGGAGTTTGTAAATTTATGTGATCTTTCCTTAGGGCCTTTGAATGACAGAGTATTGTTGTGCGCTGCATTTTTTTTGAGGGATTGTGGATGATATTTGTGATAAATTGATAATTCTGAGATCTTGGATGATATTCTACAAGGAGTTGAGAAATCTTTCATTATCTTCTACTATCTTTTCAAAAAATATCCTTATGCTTACAGCCTAGTCTGCCTAGATGATACTTATTAGCATTCTTCTAACGAAATTTGCAAGAGACTTTGATAACATGGAAATAAATAGACACACAAACAGATATATCTCTATATATTCTGGACATGTTGCACATAGTTTACCCTTTTTACATTTACTGATGTCAATCTTTGTCAGTTTTTGTTAGAAATGTCTACTATTAGGGTATGTATCATCTGCTTAACCTAAAAGGCCTCCTGATGTTTTCTCTTTGCACTTCTTCGACAGGTCTTGGATTTGTAACTTCTATAACATTCATCTTCTTGGTTGGGGTTTTCATGTCATCATGGTTGGGAGCATCTGTCCTAGGCCTTGGTGAGTGGTTTATCAAGCGGATGCCATTTGTTCGCCATATCTACAATGCCTCCAAGCAGATTAGTTCTGCTATTTCACCAGGTGTGAATTCTTCTGGTTTTCTTCCACATGACAAAAATTAGTTGGGTTGTTCACATTATTAAAATTGTTTCAGATAGTGACGATCTATATTCTGCATCTTCTTTCACGTTTTATATATCTTATTTTCAGATCAAAACACCCAGGCCTTCAAGGAAGTAGCCATCATAAGGCATCCACGTATCGGTGAATATGCGTTTGGGTTCATTACTTCATCTGTCACTCTACAGGTGGGCAATTGAAGTTTTTGTTCCGAAATTACAATTTCTACATGATGTGATTGGCATGCATGTCTAAATCGCATTTTCTTTCAGAAAATATCATTTTCGGAATGTTGTTTTTATTATTTATCATTTTTAAAATGCAGACCTACTCCGGTGAAGAAGAGCTATGCTGTGTCTATGTTCCCACAAATCATCTTTACATCGGTGATATATTCCTCATCAATACCAATGATGTTACCAGACCAAATCTATCAGTCCGTGAAGGAATCGGTGAGGGACTCCCCTTCTTTTTGTTGTAATGTACAAAACACAAGGGAGGGTGAAACTACATTTTGCTTGCTATTACCAATTAGTCTGTCTTCTCATTACTTTCCGAAATTGCCACTTCACATGAGAACGGGTTTTCTTTTGTGAAGCGGTGGTCGTTATAGCTGTGGGTTTTATATGTAGGAAGAAAATAAAATCAAATAGAGCGAAAGCATTGCCATAACATTTCCCGGTTCAACCTAAAGCTCATTCTATCTCTTTCATTCTTTTCACTGCAGAAATCGTCGTCTCCGGAGGAATGTCAATGCCCCAGATCCTGTCGACGCTAGGTACACGTTTGCCACTGGAAAGAAGTAGATCTAACAGAAGCTGATTGTCGCCCGTTTACATAGATTGTAACAGAATAGTGTTTGCTTTCGAATATAGTTTGGGGCAGTTTTTCTTTTTTGGGTGTTAGGTTGTATTTCTTTCAAAAATTGGAACAGAAAATGTTTATTGTATACCTAATATATTTTATATGTATTATTATTTCTATCTCATTAGTCGTTGTATTATCTCGAAAACGGAGGACGTTTTCAGTCTTCGTTATGTTCTGTCAAACACGACGTTAATGAAATCATAGCCGAGACTCGTTCTTCCAACCCCCAGCTTCACCTCCGAACCTACTACTGTCTCCTTTTTTCCTCGGTTCATCACTGCAAATTTCTTCCCTCAAAAGCAAACTCTCTCGTCCTTGGTCCATTTTCACAAAAGCTCAAAATGCACACCGATCAGATTCTGACGTCATGATCTCTGACGAAGATCCTCAAAACGCCAACTCTACTACGTTCAAATCCCTTCAAGGGACTCCCACGATGGTGACAAGTCGTCTTCCATACAGGCAAGAACACCGGCCACCGACAGCCCCATGGAGTCTCCTTCACAGCTTTCGTTTGTGAGAATGCTGCCATGTTAAATATACCAGAGAAACCTTCAAGAACTTGTGCACTTTCTTTATTCAATTAACAAAGATGATTACAAAAGCTTACTACAAGCCTCACGTTCTTCCAGCTTATATAATAGCTTTACAAAGCTTTAAAAACCGCTTAACAATATTCTGTTATAACCAATTAGCTTCTAGACTTATTAATTCTAGAACCATCTCAACTATATCATGCATGAGCATGCATGGAAGCACGTTTGGGACTGCTGCATACATATGAGTGCAGTAACTCTCAACATTCTTCCTTCTTTCTCAACCTTCTTAATGAAAAAAAATGAACACTTGAATCAAAAGTGCGACGCCTCATTCCGTTAGACTTGAATCGGAAGTGCCGATGCTTCCTTCCGTTCGACTTGAATCGGAAGTGTCGATGCTTCCTTCCGTTCACTTGAATCGGAAGTGCGATGCTTCCTTCCGTTATTCTTGTTCACCTTCATTTCTTTCTTCTTATCTTCCTTTCTTCAACTTAAGAAGAATGTTTAGTTTCGCGAAATCTTCTGATACTTCGGCGTTGGCATGAACGAATTCTATAAGTTCGTAAGGCAGCAGCGAATTGGATCTCTGTTGTATAGTCTTCACAGCATGATTGTAGCACCATGAACTACAGGATCGTTTGTGGACACAACTTACAGTATTGGTCCATGAACATCTTTCGGAATCGATAGCTTCCACCGTCAAATGGTGAAACATCCCAGACTCCACTTGCTTGCTTGATTTCACAACTCGCACGAACTCGACCATCACGTTTTCTTTCTTGTTGTGCTCGTCGACGGAAAAGCGAGTAGGGTTTTCGATTTCTACATTGTTATGGGATCCCTGGGAAGGGCAGACTCTGTCCAAAGTGGTGTTGGTCACCATTGGTTCAAAACAGAAGGTTGATTCAGTGGATAAACTGTTGAAGAAGAGAATTGGGATTACTATGAAAATAAAATGGGTTGCAGAAAATTGGTGCAGGCAGCAGAGGAAAGTGACAATCCGATGGAGAAAGCAACAATAGTTGAACTGATTTAGATCTACAACAAACGAAAATAGCAACGGATGAAGGAAAAACAATCGACTGAGAAGAAAAACAACAATCAATGGAAGAAACGGAACAACATCAACGAAACTTGAGATCAACTATCAACGGCGCAATAGTGAAAGAAAACAAAGATGCCAGGATCTTTAGCGAATGATACCATATGAGAATGCTGCCATGTTGAATATACCAGAGAAACCTTCAAGAACTTGTGCACTTTCTTTATTCAATTAACAAAGATGATTACAAAAGCTTACTACAAGCCTCACGTTCTTCCAGCTTATATAATAGCTTTACAAAGCTTTAAAAACCGCTTAACAATATTCTGTTATAACCAATTAGCTTCTAGACTTATTAATTCTAGAACCATCTCAACTATATCATGCATGAGCATGCATGGAAGCACATCTGGGACTGCTGCATACATATGAGTGCAGTAACTCTCAACATCGTTCACCCTTCACTTGAGAAACGAAAAAGGTTGGAGTGTGTCCCAGATTTTAATGGGTTTGTTTTTCGTCTTTTCACCTTGTCTTTGACTTGTTTTGCCGAAAGTTGGAAGAACAAAACAATGAAAAGAAGAGTGCAATTTTGTGGGACTAGTGAATCATGTTCTTAGTATCAGAGAATGCCAATCGAAATAGGGGGTTTATTGGACTACAGAAATGAAATCTAAAATTTTGTTGCTTTAACAGACAAATTAAACAGTAGCCTTTCTTCCGTGGCATGCCTGATACAAACAATGTGTATATAAACACTGCAGGCAATCACTTTGAATTACCTACACAAAATAGATTGTATGATCCAACAAACCAGTAGATATGAAAGTCCAGCTTCTTCAATATCTGCTGTCTGCTTTTTCGAGTCATCAGACTTTGAATTATGTACACGGACAAGCATCGGGTAGGCAAGGTTTGTTTGCTATATATAATGAATCGTATAATTATTGTTAATAAGATCTTAATTCAGTGATAATATTACAATCTTAAGACCTTTAATATTCTAAATTCAAGTTTTGTTGCATAAATAATATGTATTGAATCATTGATAGTCTTATCAGACAATGATGCATCTCCTTCTAAAGCACGTACAATCTGCTTGGCTACAGTTTTGGTCAGAGTCCACTTAATTAAAGTACTATAAGGTCAAACGGAAACTTTTTTTTTACACCATTTACCTGGATTATCCGAGGTCGATGTCTTGCTGTATGTCGCACGCAAGCAGCGACGCAAGCAACCATTCGAGTCATCTCATTATGGTTATATTCCTTTTGTAACTTGGGATTCACCAGACTATTGAAGTTTCCATCATCCAAAGCTCGTGTGAGCAATGGCCTAGCCTGCAATGCTGATTCAGATTTACTGGAACTTGTTCGTAGAGTCCGAGAAGAATATGCAGATGAAAGTATGTGTGTTCGTGAGTGATTGCTCGGACAAACATAGACCAAAATTGATAACTAACCCACTCAACCAAACTGTCTTCCATGTAAGAAGAGCCGACGGGTCTGAGTCCGGTAATCAATTCCAAAAGCATGACTCCGAAAGAGAAAACGTCCAGTTTGTCCGTGAGTTTTCCACTTGAAGCATACTCGGGAGCCAAATATCTAGAGAGTGTTAGCATAATGAGTTAGTGCTCTTATGTGGCTCGAGCTCTAGTGCATGCTATTTAGTGATTCTAGAAGTTTGCTAGCAGTTAAAGTTGTTAATGTTTAGTTGAGGTTGTTAATGTGTAGTTACAAAGTCTGTTAAGACTATAACAATTATGGAGAGCTGTATATAAACAGCAGAGGAGTTGTAAACCATGTATTGCATTCATTCTCTATTCAATATACAAGTATTCTGTATTTCTTCACTAGTTATTCAACATGGTATCAATCGCCATAAGTCCTGGAGATATCGTTTCTGCTGCAAGAAGTTTCGGTGTTCATGGTTGCTGCTGATTCACAGTCGCTGCATGGAGTTCGTCCTCCTCCTCCTCGGTTGCCGCCGACTTCCGTTTCCACCGCCAAAACTTCTGAGGCATTACCCCTTCCTTTGTATTTAACGAATGCGGAGGACGAGGAAGAGAAAAATGAAGTCTTGCTTTGTAAAGAAGATGCACGTACAGTACCTTGCCGCCAAGCTCTTGATGGCTCGCTTCCTTCACTGCCTTCTTATGCATCGAATGTAGCTGCCCAGAAACTGTTTGATGAAAAGCCTGTTAGAGTTACAACCGAGGAAGATGCCCGTAAACCTTGCGGCCAAGCTGTTGATTGCTCGTTTCCTTCACTGCCACCTCGGGTACCAGTTGCAACTACCCGGACACTGTTAGATGAAAAGCCTGCGATATTTGTTTTCTCTTGTTTATCGTTCAAGCCTTTAACAAGTCAAATTCCTATAATTTGCAATCTCCAAACGATGCCTCGCCGAAGCTCAGGAGGAAGGTCAATCCCACGCCCTACTGCTCGTGCGCCAGCGAACAATGCTCCTTTAAAGCCTGCTAGTTCTGCCCCTCCCCCGACACCTGTGCAAAAGGGAAATGGATTTGGCGTTGCAATCGTAGATGGTATTGGATGGGGTGTTGGAACTGCTATGGCTCACAAGGCAGTTGATGCCATTGTTGGCCCTCGTGTCATCAAACACAAGACTGTTGCTTCATCAGAACCAGCTGCCTTTGCTGCTCCCGCACCAAACACGAACAATCTTGTGAACTCGGATGCTTGTGGCGGTCAATCCAAAGCTCTAAGTGATAGTCTGACCAACTATGGAAGTGACATTAGCAAATGCCAGTTCTACAAGGACATGTTGAAAGAATGCCGCAGGAGCTCCGGTGCTGCGTTGGATGCTTGATGATGGCAAAGCTTGATTATCTCATATCAAGATCGTTGCAATTTAGATGTTACTAGGCGTGATTTTTTTCGTGATATATAGTTGTTACTATTCTGGAACATGGGCTTTGTTAGCTCAAACATGAGTTTGTATGGATTCTACAAAGAATTCTAGGTGGACAACTTTAACTCTTGATTAGGGAAAAAAAGTATGTCAAGGAACCTTGTAAAAGAGGATAAAGAAGAAAGAAATGAAGGTGATTCAAGAAGAACGAAAGCATTGGCACTTTCGATTCAAAGTGAACGGAAGGAATCATCGACACTTTCGATTCAAAGTGAACGGAAGGAAGCATCGACACTTTCGATTCAATTATTCATCTTTTCATCAAGAAGGTTGAATGTCAAAAATTAGTTGTAATTTGTTTTTAGAGCTTGCTATAATAGTGTGTTCAAGGTTAGAAGAACAGAAGAAGAAGTAGAGGGAATGTTAGCATAATGAGTTAATGCTGTTTAGTGATTCTAGAAGTTTGCTAGCAATTAAGGCTGTTAATGTTTAGTTGAGGTTGTTAATGTGTAGTTACAAAGTCTGTTAAGACTATAACAACTATGGAGAGCTGTATATAAACAGCAGAGGAGTTGTAAACCATGTATTGCATTCATTCTCTATTCAATATACAAGTATTATGTGTTTCTTCACTAGTTATTCAACAGAGAGTGAGATTTACATAAACCAAAACAACTAGCATATGAACCGAGAAAACAGAATGCGTCGGTCTTTTTACCCCCAAAGGTACCCATCACCCTAGTGGAGACATGAGTGTTGAAATCGGAAGAAAACTTTGCGAGTCCAAAATCAGCAACCTGAAAACAACATTTTTATCCGTCATCTCATGACAAGATTGTGAGGGAAACATACGGATTCGGGCGACGACGACAAAAACTACCAAGACGACCATTTGAAACCGAACCTATATACATCGGATTTTGTTTATGTTTCAAGTATTTATATGTATCAGGAAATTAGAATGAAATAAATACCTTAGCCTCAAACTTGTAATCCAAAAGAATATTAGCCGCCTTAATATCACGATGAATGATCTTAGGATGACCTTGATAATAGTAGTTAACAAGAGACTAAAATCCCAAATCTAGAGCAAGCATGCAAGGGAGATAGCCAAAAACCATACAGTCCTCGTGAAGATATGCCAGTCCTTTCGCAGATCCTATAGCAATTCTCATCCTCGTCGACCAATCGACGGTAAGTTGCCCCTTTACTGGAATTAGCATTATGAACATTACTCAGCATTCACAATAATCCAAACAAGACTCTTATTCTTACCATGCAAATGAAACTCCAAAATGTTGTTCGCAACAAACTCGTAAACGAACATTCTTGTTCTCCCCGAGATGCAGTATCCTACAATGACACGAACATGGCTGATAATTTCCACTTCTGCCTGAAATTCTCTCTCCCCTTGTTCACTTCCAGCCTTCAGTTGCTTCACGGCTACTTGTTTCTCGTTCGGGAGAACTCCGCAGTGCACATATCCGAAACCACCTTGTCCAATCAGGTTTGCATCTGAGAAGCTGTCCGTTGCCTTCGCTAATTCTTCATACATAAATGTGCTCTTCGAGAAACCTAAAGCAATACCTGGTGAGGGCGGCGGGAGCAGGGTTTCGGAACCTGAATAATTAGATCCAGAACCTCCACTGCTGCTCATGAAAGGTGGGGGTGGTGTCATTGGCTGAGATTGCCATACTGTAACTGGTGGAGGAGTGGGCTTTTGAGATGCTGCAGCAGACTGATTCACAGGTGGCTGTGTAGGATTTTGTTTCCGACAATACTGCTGGCCACCATATGTATAAATGGTTGTCCATTGTTCCCATATGTAATGGGGTAAGGGGAGGTAAGATAGTAGGCTGCCCCACACTAGGTTGAGAACAATTTCGGTAGGAGACCTCCAAATTATGAAATGCCCTCCATGAGACTTAATTTGTACTCTACAAAAAAAAAAATCTTTGAATTATTATGATTACCAGGAGATCTGACAAAAAAAATTAAATCTTTAAACTCAATCAAACTTAAATTCAAGTGAAACACTATGATATCTCTATCCTAAGCAAAATCGAGGAGGCGCACTAACAGCAATGTATACCAAAAAACAGTAAATTTATAATTCAAATATCTATCATATGCTTCACCCAAGCAAGCACCAATCTTCAAATTTTTCATATTTTTAATGGAAAACCAAAGAAAAATGAAAAAGGAGAAGCATTTTGTTGTTTAAAATAATTGGAAAATTATACAACTCGACCAACATCGATGATCACTACCAATTTAATTTATAAAAATTTAAAATTCTGAATGACTCAACGTATATTTATAAATTAGTTAGAATTCTAAAGATAAATTATTTAAAATAAAATATTAATTAAATTATTTTATATAATCTTTTTTGGCTTAAATGCATAATTTCCCTTTAAAGTATGCCATTTGTATCGAGTTTCCCCTTAAAGTATTTTTCAGGACTTTTTGCCCCTTGAAGTTTAAATTGTTACATAATTTGTCCCAAACCGTTAACTTCGTTAATAATAGCAATGGCAAATTACATATTTAGCTACTTAGCTATTTTCATGGTTATGTTTTGGTCACTCATCTATTTTTTATCAAAATCATCACTAAACTTAAGTTTTTGTTTTATTTTGGTCACCTAAATCGATTTTATTTATTTTTAAAATTTGCAATAAATAAGAATTTATTTATATCACATTTTTACTCTACACACAAATAGTCAACCCCTGAATATTTAAACCCAACCAAGCTAATAATTTTTACATTATAATTATATATATAAGATAAAAATTACATAATATATAAATATCATAAATTGAACAACAAGTTGAGTCATACTAGACCCATGAATATTTAAAGATAACATAGCTAATATTTTTTTCTCTTCAAGGTCATTTTTAGACTTAATATTTCATTCAAATTTACTCAATATTAATAAAAATTTTGCATAAAGACAGTGCAATCAAAACTAAAGTAAAAAAAAAGTTTGTCCCATGAAAAGATGACAAGCAAGAGACATAATGAACCCTTTTTTAATGAAGAAAAAAACAATAAGCCCCTTTATTCATGGTACATATACTTTGATGTTGATACCTTAATTCATTAAATTATTTATCTTTATTTTTTATTTACTTTTATTCGAAAAATTTGTTGACAGAGCCCCTTGCAACAGTCAATGTTTTTAAGTAAAACTACAAACTATTTTCAAGTTTATAATAATTATTGAGTTTACATTGTGTAAGCTTTTGTTCATGTATCGAATCATCGATATTTATCTATTGATTGACTAATTAAGTTCAATTATTATAAAAAATTATTATAGATGCGATCTTTTTAATCTAGTTTTTTCATTCACAACAATATATTTCGAACCCTCTAACATTATTTAAAAGATCTAACATCTCATCTCACTAAATTAATTAATAATAAGTTTTTCCACTCTTAATTTTAAGAGAAAATAACCTCAGTGACAAAAAATACCATATAATATACGATTTTAACCAACTTTTTCCGGATTTGCCAAAATGACAACAAAATCGCAATGCGATCGCTAATTCGCAACGCGATCTCCATTATCGCAAATCAGTTTCCAGATTCGCAACGCGATTATGACTATCGCAATGCGATTTTCCAATTTCGCGTTGCGATTTTCCCAATTCGCAATGAGAATAAGTAAATCGCAATGCGAATTTGGAAAATCGCAATGCGATACTGACTATCGCAATGCAATTTTCCTAATTCGCATTACGATTTACGTATTCGCGTTGCGATTTTCATAATTCGCAATGCGAATACGTAAATCGCAATGCGAATACGTAAATTGCAATGCGAATCTTACTATCGCAATGCAATTTACATAGATCCATTCGTATTAACGCGTATTTTTTTTTTCAAATTCCAAACACAAATTTTTTCTTAATAAATCGGAAACTGAACCGTCCACAGTAATCGCAACTCATAACCTCAAACCTAAAATCACAACACTCAGTCCCATCTCCATCTCTCACTCTCTACGGTGAAATCCGTCCCCATCTCTGAAGATTTCCGTCCCCATCGCCGGCGAAATCCCTCACAACCATTCACAGTCAGAAATCCCTCACAATCATTCAAAAATGGAAAATCAGCCTCCGAGGGTTAGTTTTTTTTATTTTTATTTTGAAAATTTTGCATTATTTTAGGTTTTTCATATTGAGATTGATGATAAGTTTACTGGTAATTTCAATAATAGATTAACCATTTCACTTAGATTTCTTATTAAATTCATTCGATTGCTGCCAATACTGCTAAACTGTTTAGCCTGTGAAGTTAGTATTTGTCTTTGTTTTGTCTTTTGGTTGAAGTAATGCAGAAGAAGAATAGTTTCGAGAATGAAAATCGCAACGCGAAAATAACTATCGCAACGAGAGAATCGCAACGCGAAATGATAATCGCAACGCGAAACCAAAATCGCATTGCGATTTTCATTTCGCGTTGCGATTCTCTCGTTGTGATTTTCATTTCGCGTTGCGATTCTCTCGTTGCGATTTTCATTTCGCGTTGCGATTCTCTCGTTGCGATAGTCATTTCGCGTTGCGATTCTCTCGTTGCGATAGTCATTTCCTCGTTGCGATTCTCATTATCTCGTTGCGATTTTCATTTTAACCAAAAGACAAAACAGTGTTGCAAATTTTAGTTTCAAGAATAAACTACTATTTATGTTTATTGTTTTTGGTATATCTTCACAGTGTAGTTTTTGGTATATCTAACTTGGTATGTTTATTATTTTTTTAGAAATTTTTTTCGGCTTCATTGACATTTAGGAATAAAGTTAGCCTAGCCACTACAATTGCTTCGAAGCTTTCACCTGCACAAAGAAAATTGTTTGAGGAAACCTGCTTCGGGCCATGGCTGAGAGTACAACATCCGGGTGGAGATGCTAATTTGACCCATTTGTGGCTTCAGACCATGACTAGCGATCTACCCGACAGTATACAACGTGGTGAGGAAGAGATATGGTTTCATTTTCCACCGGCGTATACTTGTTTTGGGCGGAAGGAGTTCTGCTTAATCACTGGTCTACGATTCGGACACGATGATGTAGGCCGGTACACTCGTCATATCACCCGCCCATCATGGTTATCCAGGGTTTTTCCTGATGAGTCAATAGAGAAGCCGAACTTACACGTCGACGACATGAAGAAATTGTTTAATAAGAAAGATGGTTTTACTCGGATGAATGACGTCGATGTTGTCTGAGTATGCCTTTTACTACTTTTGTATGCCGGCTTTTTAGGCAGAGAGGCCAGTCAACCTATTCCTCAGGAGCTAATATTATTGGTAGAGGACCTAAATGCATGGAATCTGTTTCCGTGGGGTTCGTATATATGGAAAGCTACCTGGACTAAGTTATCGTCTGCCTTTGATGACCGCAAAAGTTTGCGGGGCGATGGGTCGAAATACACTTTGTCAGGCTTTGTTTGGGCCTTTAAGGTAAGAATTTCTATATAATGTTTTCAAAATTATAATTAATTATTTAACAATTACTAATGTTTGTTATTATATTGTTTGTAGTTTTGGATATTCGAGGCCTTTCCCGCCATGAAGACATATGCAATAAAAACTTCAAATGATATTCCCAGGGCTATTTCCTAGAAGAGGAAACGTCTGTTGGATTGGGAAGACTTAATACCATATGCGACAATAAATAATGTAAGTTAACACAAATACTATCATATATAAACAAGTTATTAATAGTAGACGTTTAACTTTGTTTGAGTTTTTATATTTTTAGGAGGCCAACATTCCATTAATGAGACTGACACCCACGGAGGCTGAGCTTGCCACTGATTGGTGGCAAGCTAGTCAGCGTTTTCTTGATGGCACGAATGATGAGCAGCCTCCACTTCCTCCACTTCGAGAGCCATCACCTCACCCATAGCCATCACCTGATCGACCCGACTATACACCTCTACAACGAGAGCCATCACCTATCCCATCACATCATCGAGCCTCTTCTCCACCATCACCTCATGATAGGCGACAGGTAAAGATGCCACGACTTCTATCTCCCTGTTCTCCACCTCCACGGGATGAGTCAAGGGAGTTACGTGATGAGTTCAATGCCTTGCGTGAGGAGATCGGTATTCTACGCGATAACGATGGTGCATGGCGTGTGGAGGTGTCTACTTTACGTGGTGAGGTTGCCGCTCTACGTG